GTGTGTGTGTGTGTGTGTGTGTGTGTGTGTGTGTGTGTGTGTGTGTGTGTGTGTGTGTGTGTGTGTGTGTGTGTGTTTTCTCCTGTTACAGGAAAAAACATGTTAAAATGAAATGGAAAGAATGACAGCAGTTACACAAAAAATGGTGACTGTAGAAACCTTAGTTTTGGACAGAGGATGAAGTTGGGCTGCTCCATTTTTCTTCTTCTTATGGCTGTTCCCTCTTCAGCGGTCACCACAGAGGGTCATCGTCGATGATATAATTCATCATCAAGATAAGACAGACTCTCCCTAACTCGGGTCTTTTTATGACCTTCTCAACATAAATGATGCACTCTTCAGGAAACGTGGCTGTTCTGTCTGGGCGCCTGCTGTGAAGTGCCCTCATTTGTACCAGGCAAAGACAATCTGGCTTTTGTTGGAGGTACGGCYATGTGGATGTCATCAGGGGTTGTGTTCACCATTTTATGGTCCTTTTTAAACTCTTATCAGTTAAGCTCTAATAACAAAAGTCATCAACATTAGCAGGTTATTTGCATTATTTAAAGACTTCWGTGGCAACAGTTTTGTGTTTCCATTTACTCACTGTCCTTGATTTTTGACAAACTTCTCTCAGAAACGTGTTAAATAACTTTTTCCTTCAGGAATAACATGAACAACTTGTTTCAAAGGTTCTGCCATATTGGAAACCTGAGCGACTGGATTGGTTGGTTCATGTATTGCCCAACTACTAAAACTTAGAACTGAGGTTTTATTGGTTTATTTGTAAGGTATTAAGAACAACTCTTTATGTGGGATCTTTTTGAAATTTGCAACAGAATTATGTTTTATTTTTACAAAATAAAATTGCCATTCAAAAGTTGCCACAGAGAAATAAAATACCATTTTTGCACTGTGGCCTAATACTTGTACTAGTAAGTAAGTAAGTAAAACTTTATTTATATAGCACATTTCAAGATAGAGATCACAAAGTGCTTCAACAAACACAAACAAAAATAAAATAAAATGAAAATAGACAGAGCAAATTTAAACAAATGCAGATTTAAAAAAGGTAAGTTTTTAACCGAGCTTTAAAGGAATCCACAGAGTCTGTTGATCTTAAACTCAGAGGACAAAAGTTGCAAATTTAAATGACTCAATAATATTAAAATTATTTGTCATGTTTTTTGTGTTTGTTTTATTTATATGTAATAACATCAATTCATTTTTATGAATCAGTGTTGATGAGTTCTGGTCTGAAAATGAAAGATTCTCTAAAAATAAAATTAAATCGTGATAAAGACATGTCTAAACCTGCAGCCACTCAAGTATTTTTTTACAAGATCCAGCATGTTTTAGTTGCTCAGTTCTTTCAAGAGACCGTTGTGTTTAACTGCTGCGTGTTACTGCAAATGCCCTCTTGTTGTTTGCAATTTTTCACTGTCTTGTTCAGAGATTCCAGCGGGACCGATGCCTTCTGTCGCAGCTTTCATAACCAGCATCTTTGACTCCTGTTTTCAGTAACCAGCTGCTTCTCCCAGTTTTCTGGCGTCGGACTCYGCACAGATGCAGCCCTCCTCTTTCTCCACGGCATTAACCACGTTGTAGAATTTTGTTGCCTTTTCAAGATTGTGTCCTCGAGCTTTAAGAGCCTTTATTACATCCTGAGGGGAGATGAGAGAGAAATCAAATGAGGCAAAAGCAGCATAATGTGTTGTGTGACAAATGCAAATACTGAGTTTTACCTCATCACTTCCTGCTTCAAACTTCACTGTGTTTTTAGAGTCAACATAAACAACAGGAACTTTAATCGCCTCTTTAAGACTCTTTCCAAACCAAAGGTGGTTGATGAGAGTCTGGAACGGACAGAAAACAAGATATCATAATCTGTCAGATGAGAAAAGTGTGATTAGAAAATGTATACTGATTCTGGTGAAGACAGAGATGGCCACGACCACCGTGATGAGCCCTTAGTGTGATTGTCCCAGTCACGTACCGAGGCCATCGCAGTGGTGATAAACGCCCCACCAGACGCTCCAATCACAGTCATCTTCGACTGAGACTTCAGAACAGAGGGGGCCATGGAGGAGGGAGGTCGCTCCCCTGTGAACAGAATGACAACCATGATTGACAGGACAGACTGAGATCGATGGGAGAACAAGAATCAGCCATGATGAATGCAATCAATCAGAAGCCTGTTGAACAATATGAATCAGATAAAGACATGTTTTCATTTTAATCTGTTCCTCTTTATGTTTTCAATGTGCCTCATCAAGTTTATGTTAAATTATTAGGGGGGGAAATATATCTTTTTTAGAGTTTTGAACAAAGTTGTATGCGTTTTGAGATATACAACATTTCCGACTATTTCCTCTTTTTTCTTTTTCAGAAATTCTTTGCTGTTTCTTTGGAAACAGTTCAAGTATGAAGTTAGCAGAAATTCTAAAGCCTGTAATTTGTAGTGTGACATTAGATCTTCACTAAATTCCAAAAACTGTTTAAATGTCAGATAAACATAATAAAAATTGTGTATTTCTTTTGTATCCATAACTCCCTTTAATAATGTATTAATAAAGAAACAAACTATTAGCACAAAAACAAACTTTTAAAATTTTGATTGTATTATTATAATGAGAAAAAATCTGAACAGCTGTTTTATGACGATGCTTCGACTCTAACATTTACACACGAATATTTCATAAAGCGTGATTCTTTTTCAAATTGAGGCGAGTCTTTTATTTAGCCCGAATACATCCACTGTGAACTAGCTGAGCCTGCAAATCCCAGCATCATAAACTGGCTATAGGTCCAAATGTTTTGTTTTATTAGCAGGAAAGAAGCCTGAGCTCTAGAGTGAAGTTGAGCGCACACACACAAACAYACAAACACAGTCTGACTTGAGTGTGATTGGGAGGAACATTTTTTTCCTGAAGTTAATTAAGTTGTTGGACTTCTATGCAAGGCATGTGTTGTTTAGACAAATGCCATGGCTGAGCATACAGTCATATGAAAAAGTTTGGGCACGCTTGTTAATTTYCCTGATTTACCTTTATAAATCATTGATTGTTTGGATTAAAAATATCAGTTAAATATATC